TTATGAAAAGATCGGAACGGAATTCGTTTTCTAGACGTCTTTTGAGCTTCACCCCATGGCCTAAATCCAGTTATTGTCTATTCCATCACGACAATAACAATTCCTATCAACATTTATTATTATTATTATTATTAAACACGTACGTGCGTTTGTGGGATAACGCGTGTGCTTGTTAGACACGCGCGCATTCCAGGCTCGTTTTTGAATGATCAGTTGTTAAGTTTAATTGACATTCCGGAAAGGTCTATTGTAGCTTTGGCAAAACAACAGCTATTCTTTCCTATATTAAGTTTTCAAGTTGTATGTGATCATGTGTATGCTTTTGTTTTTGCTATTTGATCGCTAGGACCAATCCAGAGTTAGTGTTTTGGCAGAGGTTTAAAGAGTAAAAGAAAACAAAATCAGGTTGCATATGCATACAGTCTACAATCTAATAAGTACAGAATTAAGCGACATATAATTTCAGGATAATAATGGAAGGAAAAGTAGCTATAGTTACAGGTAATGTTTGTTTTAGCATTTTTTACGTTTAAAATTGTAGTACACTCTGTTTTTATTGCAGATCTTGCATGTGAATTTTGATTTGATTTGTATTCCTTTTAATGTTTTCTTTACAAGGGGATTGTTTTGCTATCGGTAAAATTTTTAATCAGGTGGTACTCTATGGGGAAGGAACATTTAATTTCCTGCTCCAAAACAAGACATCCAACATATGTTCATAGCAAATATACTGTAACACTATTAAAAATACAACAACTACAGGTAACATATATCCGTGTGCACAGCTTAGTCTTTCCTTTCTGTTATTCCAATGATCACTAACCGCGAAGGCTCTACTATCAACTAAACCCAAATACTGTACTGTACATGCCGATCTTAAACTCTTATATAGGGTGATGTAACAGTGCAAATTCAGGCTTCAGCTAGGACATCATTGTGATTGGCTAGATAAGCATTATGCACGTCTGTAAAAGCTTAGAAGTTGTTCTTTCCGCCAAAATCTATTGCGGACGTAAGATTTCCAAGTGTGCTGTGCAGCAAAGTAAATTTCAACGGTAAATTTCAGCGGACTGATTTTGGCTTATATGGACTACATTTGGCAAGTAATTATGAGGCCAAAATCAGTCCGCCGGACCGATTTTTGCCCCGGACCAAATTTTTCCTGACAGGCCTATGTTCCAGTAGTACCTTAGGCACTATGATGTTTATTAATTTTTAGTATAATAGAAGAACAAGAAGCAGGAAGAAAATATACAATAATTAATAATCAATATATCATTGTATTACGTTTTTTGTAGTAAATGTACGGCACTAATGATGAGAGGTCTCGGGGCCCAACCTATCACGTTTCTTAATTCAACATTTTGTTGTGGAGCAGGAAATCAAGTTGTCCTTCCCCAGTACCGCCTTATTATAAATTTAATCGACAGGCAAATCTACCGATAACTGTGCGATGTGTGTATTTTCCATTTGTTAAAGCATGTAACAACAAATAAGCATATTCAATTATGATTCTTCACAAAATAAAATCATTTTTATTTTATTTATTTTTATTTTTTTAAACAACAGTTGAAACAACACAATATACTTTTTGTACATTATAATTGTAAAGATATATTAAATATTTTCTAATTATTACATCGACAATCTTTAAATATATGGCTTAAAAGTCAAACACTGTATGTTGATTAGAGTCACTGCACTGCACATAATACAGTGACAATTTTTAATGGTAGGCAGCAGCTCGGGAATTGGTGAAGCAATCGCCATACATCTAGCGTCCTTGGGATACCGTCTGACAGTCACCGGCAGAAATGCGGAGAATCTGCTAGAAGTAGTGAACAAATGCAAAGAACAAGGCTTAGCAGATAAAGAGGTGAACATTTAATTTATTATCCAATAAAATACAAGACGAACAAATGCCAACCAACGTAAACATTGAGTGTCCATATAGATGGTCCAAAATTCATGTTAGTACGTAGAAATCAATCGTTACTTAACATTTGGTAAATTATCACTGAGACAAGGGGATCGCAAGTCGAAGTATGTATCTCTTCCATCTCTACTTCATGCTGAGTGTTTGATGTCTATGAATTTCAGACGTAGGTGAAAGTTCAGAGAGATTATGTTGCAGCTTTTCTATTAATTTTAACATTGCATCTGCTTTTTTGAAAACCTTGGCAATACGTTTACCAGAAACAGGAAAGACGGATCCAGGAATTTGAAATAGAAGGGTTCCAAGGAGTACCTTTCACAAATGGAGGGTCTAGACTACCTCAGCTGCACACATGTTTGTGAAATGTATGATTATGGTACTTCTAGATGGCAGGAATCAATTTATATAGGCCTATATTTTCTTTTTTTCCCCTGTCTATTTATTATAATTTTTAAAAACCTAGGGGGAGGGATCGGGGACCTTGAATCCACCCCTGAACAGAATTTTATAGTCCTATACCAAACCATCTGACAGACTTTTTTGTCTTTCGTGGGAGTCGCCACTTTTACTGTCACTCCTTTTTCATTGTTTTCGTACATTGTTCATCTGTAATCTATATTACATTTCAAATAAAATAAAAGTAACTAATATATACATATAGTATATGTTTTTGATGTACAATAAATAATTTAAAAAAAGTGTCAGATGTAAAATTATAAAGGTACGACAGGAAGAGAAATGTAGGCGGCTTTCAGGAATACTCTATAAGCGAAAAACTTACGATTACATAGACCTACTGTACTAACCTAATGCTTGTTCTTTATACTGTTTCACAACATCCATGAATACAAACAAGACAAGGTTGTTTTGGGCTCTAGCCCATTGCATTCTGTTATCCAACTCCAGATAGCAATTGATAATAATTTATAAATAATCAATAAATAATAACTAATTTGTATACCATCTGACGGACTCTGAACGTTTTAAGGTAAGGCCTTTAGAGATAATTTCGAAAGACTTTTTTCTTTATAGTTTTGCATTCATTGATAACACTATTAGTCCAGCAGCTAGATATGGTTTACGTGTACATACTCTGCGATTTATAAAGACCTGTTTTTTCATGCTCCTGATACCTTTGGTCATCCATTTTGGCCATGTAGCATTCGTAAATTTGGGTCCCTGGGTCCAAAATGGCCGCTTTTATGCAAAAGTATCCATTTTTGGGAAAAAATACAAACCCTCTGTATTTCAGTTACTATTGGTGATAGAGTGCCAAAATGTTCGGAAGGATCATGTTTCTATTCGATTTAATGCAACATTTTTCCCAGAAAGTACTAGGAAAAAAATTATTACCAAAAAACTCATTTTTTGCCCAAAAAACATGTTTTATATAATTTCCTATTTTTCCAACCCATCAATTGTTTCCACTTATTCAAAGGTGGCAAAAGATAGCTAAAGTGACAATAATAAATCACAAAAAATATTTTAAAAAAAATCTGATAGTTTGTGCATAAAAAAATAATTGATTTAACTTCAAAAAAGCCGGTTTTGGTAAAATTTTGACAAAATCAGGAGAAATCCGTAATTCTGTTAGTATTATATTTATCAGATTGTGTTGAATTTGGTCTCAAATTACTCGGAATACATGCATTTCTATTTGTTTTAATGAAACATTTTTAGACCGTGGGTTGAGGCTCCAAAATCGGCTTAGTTTACGAATTCTGTGACCCACCGATCCGCGCTACTTGGCATTCGCCCAAAAATGTCAATACTATTTTATTGAAACATAATATTATTGTCGGCAATCGTAAATTTGGGGAAACTGTAACCAAAAATGAGAATTTATCTTCGAAAAAATATTGTCGTTCACGAAAGCAGTACCCAATCACAGCACAGTTACCATACCTGTTAAGCATTGATTAGACGCTATTAGCCAATCACAAACGTTCTTGTAAACTCGGTAACTAATGTAAACAATGTCGCCAAGAAAGCGACAATGTGTAGCAATTTGGACGAAAGTTCTCCGGTTTTAGTGGAATATTTCAATATGATATAAGTATACCAGCCTTTAAATAAAATACATTGGTAATAGTTGTAAGATTTTAGAGGTAGTAAATTGCATTTCCCGTCTTCTGTCGACTGTCATACCGTAGTTTTTAAAGCCAATTAAAAGTCGACCGTGCTGTACTGAATGTGTATTGTATTACTTATCTTATATTTTGATTCTATTTGGAATCGCTTTTTTTTTTTCTATAATTAAAAAAATGTACATTTTAAAAGAAAACTGAGGCTGAATTACTTCAAAAAATAAGAACACATTGAGGCTGATGTAAAATTTCAAATGTTTTTATTTGCATGCAATGTAAATAAATAACATTAATCAGTATTTCTTGCCATGCATGTTGATTTTTGTTTAACTGCTTGAAGACCTTGGTAATATGAACTGAATTAATGAATAAAAATAAAGCAATTGATGATTCCAGTAAGGTGAAACAAATAAATTTTTAATATACCTCAGTTCAGCCAGTTGCATCCCATCAGCACTTTCATTATCTCTCTGATCAATCACTGGGTATATACATTTAACTACACAACAGTAAACACAAGGTTGAAAGAAGTTTATGACAAAAATCTGAACTTTTATATGAATATTATTGAAACACTGTAGCACATCATATACCTACACAGAACTGCTTTAAACATAGCTGAATATAGAGTTCAATCCAATCCACTTAAAAACATGTGTTAAATATTACAATTATATAATATTATCAATGTAACCAACCAGCATAAACAATTTAAAAGAAACTAGAAATAATGAAAGTTTTGCTGTATTCATTATCATTTATCAGCAAGTACTGGTCTGTTATTTTCTTCTTTTCATATTGCATTGTAAAGTACAATACAATGCAATTCAAAAAGTCAATGCAAATTTTTATAAAGAAAATAAATGTGTTGTTGATAAATGTTCATACAAGGAAAAACCTTAATAATATCTGGTAATATTTCTCAACACAGTGTATGGTATGATGTCATATCAAATAGATAACAACATTCATACAAACAGTATACAGTTCCAATCTGATAGGACTACAGCACTTTCAATTGATTCATGTTTATCCATGACCTATAATATGGCCGAATTGCCACCAGATCCTTATCCCTCATGTAGTGACAAGGCTTCATCCTGATTTGCAGTAGCAGCCTCAAGTAATTCCACCACTCAATGTTTCACATCTTACTAATTTCTCAATGGTGTTTGCTCTATTAAAAGTACTTAATATATTATTGTCTTTTTACAAAAAAATACATGGGAGAACATGACTTCGACCAGGAAGCACTTCCTTAATTCTTGATTTCAGGTGATGCAGAATGAGCATTTGCTTTGGCTGTGGTTCATCAACTTCCATTCACTTGATTCTGTGGTCTGTGAAAATTAATTAAACAAACTAATTCAAAGAGATTATCAATGCTACTGTGATGGTTTTAATGATCAAATATTTATTTAAATTGTTTCTTTTTAATCAAAGGTCGTTTTCCAAAAAAAAAAAGAAAAGAAAAGAAAAATAAGTAGTATCAGTATAATACAATATTAAATGCAGGTGGTGATGTTTAATTGGACATCAAAGTGTTGATAAATATTATTTGCTTAAGTCAGTTTTGATACCTATTAATTAATATATTTTTTGTTATGTTGTGTCTAGGATTCCTATGTAGATAAAGCATACTGTACTATTAATATAATAATTTTGTTATATTCTTTTCATGAAGACATTAAAATCAAATTAAGCCTGAATTACTTAGTCTAAGCACAGTCACTGAAGGGCACATCCCCCAGCCCAAAAAACTGAATTGATTCAATTTGTGTAGTAATTGTTCTTGGTAGACAGTAGTAAATAGTTGCTATATAATTGTGGATGGCTATTCTTGATTTGTCTTCATGGTCAGTTGTTTATGCTGGGTCGATTCATTGCCAAGATTATTGTCTCAATATGCTTATTACAATATAACATCATCGTATTTGATTCACAATACTCTGTGGTTATTTTGCTGTCGATAGTACCCCAGTTTGAGGAAAAGGCAGGGCTTCCTGTCTGTGTGTGTGGTGTGATAGAGAGACGCTTAGTGATTCTCAATTAAGTAAAACATACCATACCATTTTTAACGTTATATGTAACCACACGTCACGTACCTTTAAACAGACTCGGTGCAATTTTGACTACTACTTGCACCACCATCCCTGAGATCCCCTTCGTTATATATGTAGGCTATTCATCAGCTTCGACGGAAGCTTAATAGGCCTTACATACTGAGGACTCGTATTTGTTGTTTTCCACAGAGTTGTACATCCTTAAATTTCTTTTAAGCTGTTTACGCTTAATGACACAACCATACTCTAGGTTCTTTTTTATTTTTACAGAAAATGTTCTATTACAGTATATGTTATTTTAGAAATGTTATTTTTGGAGAAAATGTTCTATTAAAGCAAATAGAAATGCATGTATTCCGAGTAATTTGAGACCAAATTCAACACAATTTGATAAATACTAACAGAGTTACGGATTTCTCCTGATTTTATCAAAATTTTACCAAAACCGGCTTTTTTGAAGTTAAATCAATTATTTTTTTACTATTAGAATTTAAAAAAAACATTTTTTTTGTGATTTATTATTGCCACTTTAGCTATCTTTTGCCACCTTTGAATAAATGGAAACAATCGATGGGTTTGAAAAATAGGAAATTATAAAAAACATGTTTTTTGGGGCAAATATTGTGTTTTTTGGTAATAATTTTTTCCTGGTACTTTCTGGGAAAAATGTTGCATTAAAGCGAATAGAAACATTATCCTTCCGAACATTTTGGCACCAAAATGAACTCTCTATCACCAATAGTAACTGAAATACAGAGGATTTGTATTTTTCCCCAAAAATGAATACTTTTGCATAAAAGCAGTCATTTTGGACCCGGGGACCCAATTTTACGAACGCTACATGGTTCGAACGCATACCAAAGGTATCAGGAGCATGAAAAAACAGGTCTATATAAATCGCAGAGTATGTACACACAAACCATATTTAGCTGCTGGACTATATTACTTGTGTTAATTACAGTTAAGTTGATTTTGTAAAACAAATTTTTTAAAGGTTAAGGCGCTTTACGAATAACGTTTGAAAGTATTTTTCATAGATTCTGTCGATGACTGGTGACGTGAACGATGTAGAATTCGTGAAGAAGATGGTGAATGATACAAACAAATACTTCAGTAAGGTAGATCTTCTGGTGAGTGAAGAGATTGTATTCAGGGACTAACTAAGGATGTTAATATTGGGTGGTGGTTGTTGTTATTTTTATAATTATACATTTTTTGAGACGAATATAGGTGTTATTCTAGTGTAGGCCTACTAGTACTACTCCAAACAGCGAAAGGATAGCTTAGACACGGAGTATTAGATAAGAAGTCAGCGCATCAAGTGCTAGATCAATATAAAACTAAATATACATTACGATTAATAATTATATTTTGTATTTATATTATACCGTACTTACTTTTTTTATAGTTCCTATGCATGTAATGCAATAGGAACTATTGTAATCACTCTTCACTGTTTTTCCCTAGTTTTTATATATATATATGTGTGTGTGTGTGTGTGTGTGTGTGCGCGCGCGTGTGTGTAGACATTTTCGCAAATGCGCATGCGTCAAAGAAAAAGTTTTCCGACATTTTGTTTAATACCTCGCGATGCGAAGTTCGATGTTTTCATTTAGATCTCCATTTTTAACTAACTTTTTTTCTGTTGTATGAGTAGTCATATGAAGGTACTATATCCCCGACAGTTGGCTATGCAGCAATGTACCCTTTGAATGCAAATTGAAGACAAGTGAACATATAAAGGCAGCCGACTGTCGGATACATAACGACTATCTAACTTTCCACAAAAACATGAGGCCTAAGCTAGGCCTAGTTCAGTACAGTAGTTACTGCGATGCGAGGGTGGTAGATCGTTCAGTCAGTGATATCGTGTTATCGTCTAATACATTTTAATAATGTGTGTAAAATTTAAGAATGCACCGCAGGGCCTAGATAATATACATTCTTGATCATCGTATTTGGGTGACAGACGATCGGACCCATAGCTTCAAATAAATTGTAGTCCTAGTAGGCCACGTCTGCCACCACCCCCACTCCTGATATCGTTCCAAACTACTGTAAAATGAAATTACTGTATACCTAGCTAGGCCTAGTCCTACGACCACTAATGATTACAGAGCCAAACCAAGGCAATATATACACAGCCAAGGTGTGAATGCAAATAGTGGATTACAAGCTATGTGGCTCGGTTCCAGTAGATACAGAGAATATTTTGTCATTCTTATCGCGTCCTACGAAATTCTTACGAGACAGCACTAGTCCGTGAATTTGTGAACAAGATCGGGGATCTAAAGATGCAATCTCTACCGTGCATCAGTGGCGGCCCGCTGGATCTCAATAGAGATTCTTTAATATATAAATTTTAAAAGGCAAATGGGAAAACCCATAAAACAGCAAACGGCCACATAATGCAAAACTATTTAAAATTAAAACAGAACAGTAGAGAAAATCCGATCAGAATGACAAAATAAACTAAGCATCCACTGGAAGGAATCCCAATATCTGTAGACGGATCCGTTTCGGCCTTCCAGGCCTCATCAGTGCAGCTAGGATAGACCCAAACAACACGTTCGACCAGCTTAGGTAGGGCCCAAACTAGTCCCACGACCACTAATGATTACAGAGCCAAACCAAGGCAATATATACACAGCCCAGGTGTGAATGCAAATAGTGGAATACAAGCTATGTGGCTCGGTTCCAGTAGATACAGAGAACATTTTGTCATTCTTATCGCGTCCTACGAAATTCTTACGAGACAGCACTAGTCCGTGAATTTGTGAACAAGATCGGAGATCTAAAGATGCAATCTCTACCGTGCATCAGTGGCGGCCCGCTGGATCTCAATAGAGATTCTTTATATATATGCATATATACCTTTTAAGTCATGTATCATGCGTAGGAACGTTGAACCCTGCAAAGCTCTGGTTTAAAATATTTATCACTGGTTTTATTATTATTATTATTATTATTATTATTATTATTATTATTATTATTAATGTCATTATTAATGTTGTAACTAATAATATAAGTATATAAGTACCTGGGATCTATACTATAGTTTTACATTTTTTAAATAATTATTACTGATAATAATAATAATATTATTATTATTATTACCAATGCCATCATTATTGTTATTATTAATGTTGTAACTATTAATATAATTACCTGGGATCTATATTATACTATAGTTTTACATTTTTAAATAATTATCACTGATAATAATAATATTAATTAACCAATGCCATCATTATTGTTATTATTAATGTTATAACTATTATTACAAGCACCGGGGTGGCTCAGACACGAGTGACCATTAGATAAGAAGTAAGCGCATCATGTGCTTGGGCAATATAAGTCTAACTATAGACTTATATTATGATTACGGTATTATACTAATTTTACTTTAAAAAAAAAATTATCACTGATGATAATATTATTATTAATGTCATTATTATTGCTATGAATGTTATAACTATTAATATAAAATATTGTCTATACTATATATTAGCTTACTACTAATACTATTTTAGTAAACCTATTTATTAATATCATTAGTATTATAATGTTATCATTATATTACTATTACAACCTTGGTTTGTTATAAACACAGTTGTTGATACTATTATTTTAGTTATTATTATTTGATATTGCTCTTTTAAATATGGTGGTTAATAGGTTAACAACGCCGGAGTTGCACGTCTTAAGGAGTTGTCTGATACCACAGTAGAGGACTACGATCTTATCATGTCAACCAATCTCAGATCGGCATTTTTTGCATCACAGGCAGCCTTACCGTTTCTCAAAGAATCAAAAGGTATAAAACGAAATGCACTAATCTAACATTGCACTTTCCAGTGGCGGCGCTACGGGGAAGGGGAGGAATGCAAGGGGTAATTTTCCTCAAGATAAATGTTCTATCCTTCCCCCACTCTCCAGTTCCCCCTCCCCAAGTTTTGCCAGAGAAAAATGAACATTATAAAGTACCACAATCGGTCGTCACAACACCGGGTGGCGCCCTCTGGACGTTGGTTACCGTCAAAGATCTTATAAGATTAAGGTTACCGTTCATTCCGCCTGAATTACTTCATAATCTTGATGGTTTAGAATAGGCTTTCTGGTATAGGCATTTTAAAACCTAATAATTTACCATAAAAATGTACTAAAAACACAAAAAGCTCGCATTATATTAGTTATCAAACACACATTTCATCATCAATTAACAGTTACAAAGAAAAATTAAGATACAACTTAAAAATTACGTTAGAAATTGGGATCAATGGTTTGCCAGTAAAGAAATTGGCGTCGGAGTAGTATCACGTGGTATCGTGACGTAACACAGTAGTACTCTATAAGATTGACCCTAAAAATTAATTGCTCCGATCGGTCTGTCTGTCATTTCAAATCCACTGGCCACTTAAAAACAATGCATTAGCAAACTTTTTATAATAAAAAAACTTTCAAGCAAATTAAAAGCGTTACCTGTTAATGTGCTATTTTCATGATTATAATTGTATCTCCGGGGTCTATGATGAGAAAATATACCCCCCCCCCCCACCACAC